TATATATTTAACGCAAGAGACTGGCTTACTAGAGCCAGAAATCACCACAACATACTAATTAGGCAGGTTCTTGATTATGATACACCAAAAACTCGCGATCAAATTATTTCTTAAATCTATTAAAAGGGGAAACGGCTAAATTATTAATATATATAAATTTTATAATAGTATAATAGTATAAAACCTCAACTATTTTATTACATGTAATGTTGCAATTACTTTGCTATTGTATACTATTTAGCTGTGATGCTGATGAGCATCCGGTTTTCTTCTCGTTGATGGCGCAATAAATCATTAGAAAAGTAGTGGCTTAAGCACCCTCAACCAGTAAATGGGAGGTAGATTAAGCAGCAATTAGTTATAAATCACGCCTGTACAAACCAGTGCTATAAATAAAAATTAATAAATAACTTATACAACAAATGACTTTTTCAAATGCTCGGTATATCGAACGCAGACCGCTTAGCCTTGCCTTTAGTGCTCAAACATTAGATTATACTCGTCCCGAAAAGTTGGGGAATGAAGTTAAGCAACATAAACAATCTTTTTATGTATTTAGTTAGTATCTTTAAGTTTTTAGCAACTAATAACTTTTAGTTTTAGTAGATAAATTTAGTTAGTATGCAACTGACTGTCTTTTACTATTTATTTTAGAGTTCTGCTGATGTGTTAGAAGTATTTAAGTTTGTGCTACAATTTATTAGGTAATAATAAAAGCAAAAAGTTTTTAAACTATGTCGATTCTAGGTTACTGAGATCCGTATTACAAGCGATTTATTATTATTAATTAAATAAACGTTTTTCTATATTAAAATTAAAAATATAAATAGTATTAAAATTAGTTGTTTATTATTATTCAAAAGTAATATATTAATTTGAGATTTTACTGTAATAATAGTTTCTCATTATTAAATTCCTTCATCTTTTAAGAAAAAATGAGCAGAAACCTGGACAAACTTTTAGTTAACCAATACTACTTGTCTAAAGTAAAATAGCCTCTGTCTTACGAGGCTTAATACCTTGAATGAGTTTCTGTACTCTTAAGGGAACAGTCTATTCTTTGGTAGAGCGAAACATATTACAGATTAAAAGTGCAATACTTTCAAATATTAATTTATATTTTCTTACTGAAGGCAGCAACTTTCGTTATGACAAATAATTTCTCTCTTTTCAGCGTTGTACTCTTTAAATTTATATATTATAAACCGCGGGTTTCAATATTGATTGTTAACGCCTCAGATGTTTATGGTTACATATTTTAAACATCTTTCTGATAGTAACGGATTTTGCTATACTTTTATAATGAAGCAATATTTCAATCATTGTTTTGCGATTTTAATTTTATTTCTGGAGCTTAGTATCCTCGTTTCAGTTTCCTTCACTTCCTTTTACTTTTGCCTTTCATAAAACATTATATCTTATTAAGTTATATAACTTTTTAGTGTGATTAGAAAAAATATTACCAAATAATTTTATGTAGGTGCTTTTTTCAAATGCTGACCTCACAAAATGACTACATAATTATTTACCAAAAGTCAATTTTTTATTACATAAGCTATGGTTTCTGTAGAAAGTTCTTTCATCATGCACACTACTTTCTAAACGATTAAAACAAGATTTTTAAAGGAGTTATAAATTTCTACTCTTTAAAGATTACAGACCACAAAACTTGGCTTCTAACTATTTTTTCACTGGTTTCACTCATATATATTATTGGTATTGTAAGAAAGTGTTTGTGTTAAAAGTAAATAGTTTGACCTAACGGACTGACGGTATACAGACTCTATACACCATCTAAGGACGCTCACTAAGAGAAACAGACGAGAGACTAGCAACTGGAAAGCAAAAGCTTACAACTTTATTGTTACGTCCAAGAATAACACAGCTATGTTAGAATTGCATTAATTAATGAACAAAATAAACAAACAAAGATACAAATATGTAAACTGCGTGATTTATTTTTAACAGTTTAATTTTGGGCGCATTTAAATTAGGAGTCATAGAAGAGTTTATACAAAAAAAAAATTTTAACAATCAATTTTTTGAAGCTCTACCGAATTACAAACTTTTTTCAGCCAAAAAGAAAGAGGCTCTATTTATAAAAGTTGTTAGAACTAAATAAAAATAAAATGAAATCGTTCTATAAGCACAGATTTAGCTTAAACTTTTCAAAAGATATTTGGCAAAAACGATAATACCAGAAAAAAGGGGAGTATGTGCTTTCACCTGTTTATACTTAAAAATTTTATATTAGTTATATAGTTACATGACCAAGGAATAAACTGCGAAAGTATGTATTAGCATTGGGTACACAAACTGACAAACAAAAGGACTGTTTGTGAAGTTAAAAACTTCGGGCTTTTAAAAGAAGCTTGCTGTGCACTTGAATCATTACATAAGGGGGCGGAGGTTATAACAATTTTAAACTTATTTATTATTTACTGTTTACTTTATCGTACTAGGAGTAAATCAAAAAAACTGGTTTATTACTTAAGCAATGTTGTTAATACTTTCAATATGCTCTTTTATTTGATAAATTAGATAAGAAGCAGTCTCGATAGTAGGCGTTAAGATACTTATTAAGGGCGAACTATTCATGTGAAAAGTTAATAAAATAGGCGAGTGTGCAGACAGTTTAGCAAAAGATCTTCGTCGTAATTTACTAGGATAACAATTTTATATGGAAAATATAGAAGATGTCCATAAAATGGTTAATAGGAATAAAACTTAAAAAACTTTGTTATGTCTCTTATCTCTAGTTACCCTTAATAATTTTAAATTCAATTATGAAAATTAACACCCCACTCTTTAGAAAAACACACTTAAGCTAAAGTCGTATCTTACATACATGGCATAGGGCTTAAGATAGCAAATCAGGTAATGCTTAGTAGAAGTAGTTTCAGTCACAATTACTAAGAGCCACGAGTCGTCGTGTAGCAGCTATAGGTAATAATGTAAAACTGTGAGGGCATCAATGTTTATTCTATTCGTGTTATGTCCTTGAGATATTATATTTATTATCGCAGATATCCTTGCAGCAGCAACCATTTTTATTAGGTAACTACAAGCTGACTCGAATTACGACAGTCACACGTGCACGAATATAATTTAAGCACATAGCAAATATCTTTCTATGATAAAACCAAGTAAAAAGAATGGTTTTTAAAGGGTACTTCAAAAAAAATAAAAATTGTTTTTTTAAAACTTTCTCTTTTTCTATTATTAATTTAAAGTTTTCCTTATTCACTTATTTTATGTATTTATAACATATATAATTAGTTGAATAGCATTTAAACGTGCTCATTTATTCTTAGCAAAGTCGATCCACGTTCTAGCCCTGGTGAAACTTTAGAAATTGTACCCGAAGTATTGAATTATATAATTAAATAATTATTAATACATTTTCATATCATGTAAAATTAGTAAATTTAATTTTTTTTTTTTGGTTACTGCTCTAATACTACCTGTATTTTTAAAGAAAACACTTGAATAAGTATTCTCTTTACGAAAAAGTAAAAATGTCTACTTTTTACAATGAAAAATAACAAATATAAAAATTTCTTTTGTTATTTTTTAATTAAATCTTTCACTGGCTTGCTTTATATTTTATTAAATTTTTATTATTATGAAGTTTAGCTTTGTAAGTAAGCTTCTGATTTCTTCATCGTTAAGTATAAAATAAAAAACATAAGTCTTTAAAAGAAACTATTGGAGTTTACTTAATACGAATACAAATAAATTAGCAAACTAATTAAATTCTTGAATACCTACAAAAAGAGGTAAAGTGTTATTAGCTTTTTATGGAAAAGTTTTTCATTCACATAACTATAGCTTCTTTGCACTAAACTTTTTAACTGACTTCTTTAAAGAAAAAATAAATTTAAATTATCGATTGTATTAATTTCTTAGCGCTATCACGACTTTTAATCAAATACTGTATGCAAATACTAATATTAATTTTTGTCCTTCATTTAGTAAAGTAATTTTAGAGATAAAATAGTTTTCCAAGTGCATTTAAGTAGATATGGCCTTTTTACAGTTGGTGTATTAAGTTTCTTCTAATGCGTCGGCTTAGTATATACCTAAACCGAGAATTTACAATTGTTAAATCTTGAGCATTTTTTAAGTTACAGATCTTAAGGCTTCTACATACTCATTGGTAAAAATCAATATCATTTTTGATTGTTACCACAAAAATACTAATTATACTCCAAGTAGTAAGCTGGTGCTATATAAAATTTGTAATTAGATTCCCCTCTTTTCAATTAGCTTAAGTGAAATACATCAGTTAACTTTGTGCGTTTAGCAACTTTCTACAAATCTTTTACTTCCCGTGCGATGTAAAAGATTCACAGTAGTAGCCAGATTGCTCACAACTGGATCAAGATTATAGGCTTAACTAAAGTTTTTTAATAGTTGTCTTTCATCCGAATAATTTGTAAAAAAAACTTAATTTTTTAATCTTAGGGCTATATGAAATATAAAGATTATTAGTAAGTTTAAACCTATTTTTGGACAGGGTAAGAACATTATTTAATGCATTTTATAAAACATTACTAAAAGATTTGATCTGTACCTATCATTACGGCTTAAGAGACTTAATTAAGGTTTAATATCTAATAGAGGTAACTTAGTTAAAATTGGTAAATTCAATAAATGCACACATATAGATTAAGAAGCTATAATTTAATAAGCTATATACAAAGAGCAAGTATATTTCAAATAAATTAATACTGTGCGCTCTTTTCGATTAAAGTCAAGTAAGCTTTGTTTACGACCTTATCTAAAATTCCAATTTTTACAATTGCAAGCGGTTACTAAATTGAGATATTTTTCAAATTATGTTTTACATACAACTATGCTAACGATTTTCAAAGCAACTCACAAGCTTTAAATGAACAACTAAAAACGCAGTCTTGACTAAAAATTTCTTATTATGTACAGCAACATATTTCCAAAGTTATAAGTACGCTTTGGTTAATTACTAAGAGGTCATCCTTTTACACTGTAGTCGGTGCCTGGCGTTTGGTGGACTCATCTTTTTGTTTACGTTACGAAGTCTTTATAACTTTGCTAAAAATTGTATATCTGTTAACCATTTGTGATTTTAATTTAAACAAACTTTCAAGTGTACGATTTTTTGAGTGAAGATGAATTTCAACTTAACTCAGAAAGAAGACTCTCACCCTCTTTACCAATCTCAAATTAATGGTTACGGTACCGCTCTTCTCTCACCAGACCAATCTCCCTATGTCATGCCTTCCTCTGCAAATAACTCTTCTCTTCAGAGTATAATTTAATTTATTACTTTTTCCGTACAATCATTGTAGTAAAAACTTTGAAGGTTAGCTAGTTAGAAGACTAATATCTTTTATTAGTTTTTTTTGGGTTATAGTTTCAGAATTCTTAAGTTGTGCTTAACTTTAAGATTCAGAAGCAAAAGAGTGGAAACCAGGCAATGTCAGAGTTTCTAGTGTTATAGTAAATATTAATTTATCCTGTTAGAAAAAAACTAGAATAGATTGGTATTTAAAAAAGTTGGCGTTTTTCTTTGATTTACCTTTGTACTTTATAAATATAATTTAGATTATTACCTAACCTCAGATGCGAAATGGAATTTTTTCCCAAGCATACTTTCTCTCAATGTACCTGCCTCCTTTATTAACACTCAACCATGGACACCTGATAGTCTTAGTTTAGGTAGCTCTAGCTAGAGTATTTACCTTATGTTCGTAGGCATAAATAAGATAATCATAATAAATTAAATTAGCTCTACTACATGTAAATAAATTTTAAACTTTTAAATATGATGATCTTCCTTGGTATATAATATAGGTAAAAAAAGCCTTTATAATTTTTGTTTACAATTTTAATATGTTCGGCAATGTTAATTTAGGATTATTATGTTAAATATAAATTAAAAACCCCTAATATAAATCCAAATTACTAATAAACTCCATAATTTTAAACATTATATAGGGACTCCTAGCTTTTACTCTGATGCAAATGTGATTTTCGAATCAAGTATATAAGTAAGTTGTATATAGGCGTTGAATTAATATTATTTTAATAAGCCAAGCGGCTATCATCAACTTTTTCTGAAAGCTCAAATGAAGTTTATAGGAAAAATAATCCTACAAATCCATTAAAAAATCGAACTCAAAGCTATTTATTTTTTTTAAAATAAAATTTTTTTATTTTTTAAATTTAATAAAGTTAATAGATTGGGAGGAACAGCCCAGTCTAACTTGGTTGTCCTTTTTATATTTATGTATTATGATAAAGTTTGTCTTGGTTTGAACACTTACCATGTTATACAGAAACTATTATTGCCATCCCGCTCGCCAATACAAAACTCTTGCTATATTAGTAAAAATGAACTTCTTTCACTCAAAGATATTAGGTTCTGCTTTCTATGTGAAAGTAAGTTTGTAGGCTTCAATGAGTGACCATTTGCTTATTATAAATTCAAAGCTACTGACACACCTCAATGGCGTCGAGGGCCAGATGGGCGGGTCACCTTATGCAATGCGTGCGGAATACGCTATGGAAAATGTAAAAAGGAAGCTGAATGTTTTGCAGAGAAAAGCCTGAAAGCGGTAATAAAAGAAGTACATCTAAGAATGTAAAGTCGAACTGCATGTAATATTAGGGGAAGAGGCATAATTTCGCATGTGACAAAGATAGACCTTCTCAAAGCTAAAAGGATAATTTAATAAAATTTTGTATATTTACTTTTTACATAGTCGTATGCAAGTATAATATATGTATTAAAAATTTTGAGACTTCTTCAACCGAAGGAGCATTAATTATAATTCAAAAAATAACTCTTGTAGGTGGTCTAAATATATTTACAAATCTGCTAACTATCCAAAAGCATCCTTTATCTCTCAAAATATTATTTAAAATATATATTTGTTTACTTTTGCTAGTCTTAAAGGAGATTTCTTGAAGCGTTATTGATCTGCTCGATAAACCCTATTTTATTGTAAGAGGCATAAGACTAAATAAGTTAACTGGACTTTTTTATTGCGAAAGAGTTTATTACAATTTTAATGCTTCACTTAAAAGTTTGATAACTTAATATATTATCTAAACTTAGGTCATAGAATGCAGAAGTATTCGGTATTATGGTTACAAAATATAAATGCAGTGTATGTGGAGTTGCATTTATATAACGGCTGTAAAATACTAATTTTACTGGTTATTTTTGACAGAAAAAGGACGTATAAAAAGTGATTCCTATCCAGTTTGGAAAACAAAACTATAATAATGACCTACTTTTCAGCGAGTAAAATTATATTTGCTTAAACAAAATGTCTGTGTTTAACTAGCATTGATGGATTAAACTAAGTGTACATTAAATAAATTCTAGACTTGTAGAAATACAACTCAGACTTAAGGGCACAAAATTTTCTTAATGGAAATTGGCTTTGAGCAAAATTTAGATAAAAAATTGTTATTCAATTTTTTAAGATTCGAGTGGTAAAAGAGAAGCTGTAGTCCAAGAAGCGGGACTTTAAAGTTTAGCTTTCAATGTCATGGGCCCCTGATCAGTAAATAGTAAAATAAAGTAACAAATATTATTAAATATTAGTAAAACTATAATATAATAAAGTACAGATTATCCGACCGACGAACGGCGTGACAATGTAGTGGCAATGACGATTACAAATTCTCCGAACTCTGCAAGTTTCGCCCGAACTTTATAAGTAGCATTGTTTTCATTACTAAGGCAATGCCTTTACGTTTTTTGTAGTAGGTTCTTTTCAATTATTGTTGAAAAAATAAGTTAATCCATCTCTTCCTCTATGTACTATTATTAATAGTATAGGTCAACAGAGTAATCGATCTGACGTGGCGAACCTAGAACTCAAGAAATGTAAATTTTTACCACTATATCTTATTTTAGCATGCTCTTCCAAAAAAGAACTTCTATTTTTATTTTTTAAGCTTGTGAGAAACGGTTAATTATTAAAAAATTTAAAAACTATTTTTTTGTTTTCCCCTTTAGCCTCTTCTATCTTGTTCTGTATTCTGTTACTATTTTTTATTATGGTTCGAATTTCAGATTTCCTAGAGCAAACCGTCGACCTTCGACAATGCATAAAAGAGAATCTTCTGAGTCGTTTTAACCAAAAGCAACGGTCAAGCTTCCGTTTCTAACTTTTTTTTTCCTGGTTTATCAAAACCCATCGGTCGCTAAAGCTCATCTGATATTTCGCAGAACTATATTATTTTCTTGCTCAAGCGTCTTATAAAAGTTTATAATCCTGAGCCTCTTGCCTTTATTACTATTCTTGAAAGTTTGTTGGGTGTTCATCAGCCTTTTGTCAACGGTTAGTAAAGTAGACGGAATAAATTTAGTGCACAGAGTGCGTTTTTCGACTCTCGCAATGTAGTTTTTTTTTTGTTTTATTAATGGTATTCCCTTTTGTCCAATGGGGTCAAAAAAAACATCAAATTTACCAGCTCTCAACGGGATGATAGTGTACAAACTAGACTTAAGCTTATGTTAGTCCACATCGAGATACGTTTATTTACTAAAGCCCAAACTCCTATTATAAATACGCTGCTAGTTGTCAATTGGTGTGCTTAGCAAACTGTTTGTAGGTGGTATTAGCATAGCGTTAAATAGGAGTGGCCAGAGGCTTAAATTGTAGGGTCTTGATATAAGCAACATTGTGAACAATCCACAACGCGCCCGGCGTAAGGCGTAACAACTAGTTTCGTATCACTTGCAGCGCAAAGGTTTTCTCAGGTGAGTCGTAGGCTCAGACAGTTGGCGCGTATGTCATGTTCGGCCGGATACGCACACACATGGGTCGCTTGGTGTAAATGAGAGTTGCTTCCTGGAAGAAATTTAGGAAGCTTGAGAACCACTTTGACCCTCGGCAGGACAGTATCTTCGTGCGGTCATCACGAAAGCTTATTGTCAATGAAGACTTCTAAATATCTAGCCTGAAGACACCAAAGGATTTTTGCTTTCGAAGGATAGCTGCAGGGGCGGGTGGTACATTGAGTTTCTAAAATAATTTTAACATAATAAATAAAATGAATATTCAATGAATTTTTTAAAGAAAATTATTAATAAAAATATCTAAGCAAGTATGATTTGAGATAAACCTAGATTAGATTATAGGTTATATAAATTTAAATAAAATGAACAGAATTTTATACTAACTGTCCTGATTAAGGTGTTCTTTCTATTGCTTCTGTCTTTGTTTTACCATATATATGTAAAAAAATTTTCACACCTGTTTCATTAGCTTCGCCACTAGGCTGGCGACTAAAACGAGGAGTTGACATACGTGTCACATCCATTCAAGAAAACCGCGTATTGGAGTTGTCAGGCCGTGGCACGTTACGCACATAAAGTGTCAAGAGCAAGCGGGATAGAGCTAATCCTAGTGGGACTTTTGCTGTTAGCAGTCTTAAGGTTGAGTACCCGTCGCTTACACGTGTACTAAAAATGCGACCCTCAAGGTCGCAGTGACCAAGTTAGAGTACCAGTTTATATATATATCTCGACAAGGACTCTCAAGGACGCAGCAGGTACGTTACCTAAAAGAGTAGACGGCGTTCCGAGCCTTGATCTCCCTTGAATAAGCTTAGCTCCTCTAGCTCTAAAAATTACATTTTTGGAAATTGGACATTTTTCTGAAGATAAAGTCTGTTAATGTGAAAAAGCTGAGTAACTAAACATATTATTTATTTCCTGTACACAATGACCGCTAATAGGGTAATTTAAAGTTTAAGTGCTGGTGTCTGAAATAACTACATACATAGCACAGACCTTGTTAAACTTATTAAAACTATATCGAATGCTTGTATATAAGGGAACATGCATTAGAGTGATTAGTACCATTATCTATAATGCGTTTCCATTAGAACCTCAAGGAAGGGGGGTTCTAAAGGCGAATAATTAAAGAAGGGGACCTTTTACAAATCCTTATGATCTGAATAGGTCGTCGAAAAGTTAACCAAAATAAGCAAGCCTAACGAAGATGATTGAGGGTCGTAATACTTAATAACCTTCACAGCTGTATGCATTTTTTTTCCGCCTCCAAGCAGTAAAGCAAGTTATAAGGAACACATATATTTTTCTAACGAATTCATATCTTCTACAGTCATTAAAACTTCTTTAAAAATTCCTCCACGAACAATAAAGGGGATTTTTACTAGACACCCTTTTTTTATTTTAGAAATCCTCAGTTTTAGTCAACACACGTACAACACTATAATAACTTTGGTATTTTTTTTTATAAATAAGGGTCGCCTTTTATAATATTAACCTATATGATCCACATGGAACATGTATACATAAGTTAAAACATTTGACAATTTAATGTGTTGAAAGTGTGTAAATTAATACATAAAAAATCAATGAGAAACCCGAAAAAAGCGCTTTAAATTACATGAAAGTTTATAAACCGGCCCACATTCCTGGACTCGTTAGAAATTTGTTTAAAAGCAACTCCGCAAATGTTGAACAGAAAGAGAAAATAATAATCAACTTAAATATTAAAATTTATCTCTAAATTTCCTAGATTAAGGAACTATCTTCTTATCTGAAAGAGATACGCGCAGAAGGCCTCTAAATTTTGGAATTATCCGCTTAAAAAAAGTCTCATTATATAAAAGGTCGTGGGTTTACAAATTTAACCTTTAAATAAGTCCTGTTATGAACCCTTTAAGTCCTTTTCTTTCGTGCTTTTATTTCCAATTAGCAATAGTCACCCAGCAAGTTGGCTTAGTGCGTGGACCCTAAGCATCTATTAGTAACGTTTGGTTAAGTATAAAGGGGAATAGCAAGCCTTTTTAAAAGGATAATTAATATTTCCTGCTGGTATAAAAGGTCAGCCCAGTTATTGTTTATAATGTATATGTTGTCCGAAAGCTTTGTTACATTTACCCTATATCAGAAATATTAACTTAGAAGCTTTTTACAGTCATTAACTGTGATAAAGTGTTATCTAAAACGGCATAGTTATTTCAAACTGTATTTATGGTCTCCCTTACAAATAATAAGAGATATTTACCATCCTGCACGTTAATTATATTGTATATTAACTTACCAAGGATACTTTCGGCAACTGCATTTTTGGACTCATAATCTTTTTATTGTGTTTTTTTTTGAGTTACTGAGCTTTTATACGAAAGTGTCCCGTTATTATTTTTCTTTTATTTTTATTTTTGTCGTTCTAGTTTAATATATATTTATTTCCATAATTTGTTACTATTTTTTACAAGTGTTAAGTTACATTACTTTTTATAATTATTGTTATTTTAGTAAAAAATTTGTAGAGTTTAAGATTGAGTTAACATAAATTTTACCTGGTCAAGAAACATGAAGCGACTCTAACACTACCTCTTTCACTAATTTAGAACCTGCATAGCTGAAGTATAACTCAGCCGTACTTCCAAATTTTTTTTTTTCCAAGTTTTAACCAAGTGTTATGGCGGCATGATAATTTCTCTCACTTCAGGACTGTCTTCTACGCCTTAACAAGCCGATTTGTGGACGCACTCAAGTGTTTATATAACACTATTTGGTTATACTGCGCACGCTATTAGTTATTTTATCGTCATCTTTTGCCAGGTATTTAAGTTGAAGTCTTCCCTCGGAAAGAACGGTTTTTGCTATATTTTTTAGGGTAAAAAGCTATCTTGATATACTTTAAGTTGTGTAAGTGGACTTCTTAATTCTCTTTCTGCAATCTTAGTCTAATCA